TCGGGCGGTCTTTGCGGCGATGAGACGTTCCCTGAGATATTGGATGCGCTTCTGTGCGAAGAGGAGGGCGTCCTGTGGTTGCGTTGGTGTCCACCACCCGATCGCGACTCCTTTTTCTGGTCCACAGACATCTGTGCCAACTGATCCCCGGCCACATTCACGTCCTCCGAGCCCTCCATACTATCGCCGCTGCGGTCATAGGGTTTGCATTTCATGAGACAGTGATTCACACAAATGAATGGTAGGGCTAAGCAGTAGGAGCCGGTCGGGTCGACCCGCTTAGCCGGGTATAAGTGAGAGGGAGAGAGAGAGGGAGAAAAGGAGGCATAGCCTGGTAGGGAAAGGCTACTCACCCACTCATATATGATAAATGATATAATCTATTAGATGATAGTCGAGTGCCTCTTGTGGTACTGGTATAGCATTAGTGGGTCTGCGAGTAGTTTCTCATAGGCTTTACATTGGGTTTAGTGTTATAAACACAATAGCAATGCACACTGTATTGAAATATACTGTATATTGAATGCGAGTATATATACCGTATATATCACACCATTAGGTATATGTAACACAATCACTATTACTTGCGATTTGCACACCAATAGTAGTTTGGGTCGACCGCTAAACTCGGGTCTGCTTTGCAAACTATGCTAACAAAGTGGTCGGACAGCCAATGGTGATCCCAGCGATCATGTGTTGATGAGTGCGCGTACGGGACAGTCGTGTGAAGGGAAGGGCGAGAAAATGATACAAAAAGTAAACTGTTTGCCGAAACATGTGAGTGAATGCCATGTATTAGACGCTCTCCACAGCACTCTCAGCACCACTACTGCTATCCCTCTCTCGGTTACAGTCAGTCACTGGCAGTACAACTGGCAGTGAGTGTGCAGTGCGAGTGTGAATGCCATACCATTGCCCTAAACGCACCGTACAGTACGTAATGGGCCGCACATACAACACACAAGTTTGCGACCAAACGTGAACACAACACCACACCACGCATGCCTTTCCCCATACACACCACACACTGATGAGTTGGCAGCTCAGCAATTACGTACACATCAGCCATCCCCGTCCCCCTATCCCTGTCACCATCCCTGTGCCCATTCGCAGCTATGGCTAACTGCTGTGCTCCACATCCATCCACATCTCCCATCCCCATCATCTCACTCTCCATACGCCAAATACTATTGTCTACTTGTGTTCACATATATATACCGCATATAACTCTATTGTCGTTCACTTTTATCATTCAATTGTCTATTCATTGCATGCTTTTCATTGGACTTAACATAAAACACTATATTATACCTTTTGGTTACAAGAATTTATTAAGAATTTTATTCATACAGTAATTATTCTTCAAAAAAAATAATTTAATTAAATACATGCACTGAAAAAAACACTGAGAATATATTTTTCATTGATGAATTTTGGTGTTCACTATAAAGTTGTAGCAAGTTCAGAGAACTAGTTAGTCTCTAAATTATAAGTACACTATACCATCGATGGCTAATGACTTACAGCACCCGCACATCAATGGAAATGGTATGGAAGAGGCAGATAAGCAATGCACACATCACTTACACTTGTAATTACAGGGCTGTTATGTACAAAAACACCCTTTCCTTGTGTGACAGTACTGTACACTTTACATAAGTTAATTCACTATATGCTATGCACTGTTCACCGCTTTGTTCTATGCGTTCATTTACTAGAAAACAATTTTGCGTTAATGCAAAACACTTGTTGTCCACTATATTTGGGTTATTCTGAGTTATATTTAGCTCTTATTTTCAAAATTAATAATTAATTGAAAAGATATATCGAAACAATAGCGGGGAGAGAGAGAAAGAGAAAGAGAGAGAGAGAGAGAGAGAGAGAGAGACTATAATTCTTATTAATATAAATTTCTATTTATATAAATTTATCTATATTTGTATAACTGTTGGACTGATTGGATCACATTTTTAGGACATCTCTCATATTAATGTTTTGCATTAATAATGCAATCAATAAATAGAAACTTGAAATTAGTTTTAAATTAGAAATCAAAGCACAAGAATTGCTTTTTACAAAACTGCATGTAATAAGACTACTATACTGTATATATATATATATAGATTATTCGTGATGCGATTGTGTGTCTATAGAATCCTGTGTTCTATATATAGAATATTCTCAGTATTAAATGATGCAGAATATAATGCGAGTGTGTGTGAGAGAGAGAGAGAGTGAGTGAGAGAGAGAGAGTGAGAGAGAGAGAGAGAGTGTGTGTGAGAGAGAGAGAGAGAGAGAGAGAAAGAATAATGAAATTTATCAGATTTAAAATATTACTCTTGCAAAAGTAGAGCTTAATATTGATTAAATACATTTAATCCGAATCTATTAACTTATTAAATGCTGGTTAATGCAAAATCGGATCATTTTTTGCAATAATTTCATCTATTTTTTACAATTTTAATTTAAAAAATGTTTTTTGTTATCAAGTATTCTAGCATTGGATTCTAGATTTAAGCAACATTATGTTGCTTTTGCAATCAAAGGTTATTTAATATAAAAGATTATTTTATTTTATTTTTAACATTATTATAATTTCAAATATCATATTTACTGTTTGATTTCTCGGAAATAATAGTTTAATCAAAACATATTATTCACCAAGCACAGTGTACTCTGTATTAATTTTGGCATATTCATATATGGTTACTTGGATATTAGATTATAAAATTTTTAATTAAAATGTTTAAACCAAATAATGTAAATATTAATTTCAAAATAGAATATTCTAATATAATTTCAACCGAATAAGTAATTGAGACTTGATTATAATTTAAACACAAACTTCAAGCAGGATCTCTTATAATTTAAACAAAATTACACAAAAAGTTGTTGAGAAATTTAGTTTTAAATTAAGTGTCGTATATCTGAATGCAAAATCTCACATTCTGTGCATTCAATTCAGTTGTTGTTGTTTTGAAACTGTAGTTGAAAAAAGTTCTTAAGGTATATAACAATGAACACAGAATTGCTATACAATAAGAACTTTTCAAAAGAATTTCAATATAAAGGTCTGACAAATAATACCGATTTCATTGTTGTTGATTAAATTTTAAGATTCATTCAAGTAATTTAATACTTGTAAAGCAAATCGAAATTAAACATTGCTTGAAAATAATTCCAATACTGTTGACCATAAAAGTACTGTATATGTAAATATTGCTTACTTAGACTCTGTCTTATAAGCTAAGACTACCGTACAATAGCAAATCTGAGTTAGCTAACAGTCAGGTGCTTATCATAAATAATATTTATTCTAATTGTTTACTGCATATTAATAGAAATGTTTATTTGTCTCATAAATTCAAACCTCATGTTTACGATTACCAATTGATTACCAAACCTATTATGAAACAGAAATATGAAATTAATTGGACGAATGAATCACATTTCCCACTCGATATGCACGTCACAGACAAAACATTATTGATTATAATTATAATTATGATAGCTTTCGATTCCAGCACTATAAGGACAATTGATTTAAAAAAAACTTAAGTAACTTTAAAGTTATTTCAAATTAAATTACAATTTGAGTCGCAAATTATAGCTTAAATTAGGATCAATCACTACACTACTGTATATGAACATAAGTGCCACAATCTCGGCGATCAACACAATATATTTCATCACATCATCTGTTGACTTGATTTTTATTCAATTTTATTAAGCAATCGATTCAATCATAGGATGAAAACTTTTAATCAAATAATTGAATCATACGTTTATTATCTGTTTAATTTGTTACTTAATCTACTTGAATTTATATAAATTCTTACTTGAAGAATTCAAAATTTTGTAAATTAATAATTTTTATTCAAAATATGAATTTCTAGGAATTGAACCAAAATAGGTATATAATAATTTACTAAATGTGGAAAGCTTTTAGTTAAAGCAATAATTTTTTGTTAAAAAGTAAGTGAAAAATAAAACTTATTCGGATTCTTTATGTATTAGCCACCCTCTATATGTCAAAGGATTAAAAAACAATAATAATAAAAGCGTTATGGAAATGGATGTGAAAAACAAAATGCTATGAACGTCCAGTTTCTGTATTGAGTAATAGTAAACAAAATTATAATTTTGACGTTTAATAGGCCACGGATTGCGTCAAAGAATCCAAGAATATAGACGAATATTCTGTGATTTTTAAGTAGGAATTAAGCGCTTGTTTTCGACAATAGAGTGCTATTTATTAACGCATTTCTATTTTTCAAAGCGTGTGTTCATTAAAACTTAAAGTGAAAAATATTATTGAATTAACACTTATAAAATATGAATGAAAAATGTATTTTTAAATATAAAAATCTTTTTATATGACTTTTTTAGGCGTAAATTAATTTGTTTTTCAAAATCTAAGCACTATTTTTCAAGTGAAATTGTACAAAAACACTATTTAATAGAGTTATACAAAATTTTTCAATAATAATTAAATTCAATACTTATAGTTAATAATAACCCAATTATAAATTAAAATACTGAGAATTATAAGTTTGTTTTTGTCATACTTAACACTTTTAAAAATAACAAAAATTATTGATAAGATATAAAAATTTTAAAAAAGCATTTATTGAATGCAAACAAGAATTTGCGATACAACACAATAAGCGAACCCAATAGTGCTTACTATTTGCGTGAATTAATACAGAATTTGAGTGCAGAATATATTCCGTAAAAAACAAGAATAACTGCTAAAACTTCTGGCGAAATGAGTGAATGAAAAGTTCAGTAGTAGTGGAGAGAAAGGGAGAGAGAAAAATAGTATACGAGTTATAATAGCAATGAAAATAATCAATGAATACTGTGGCAGTTGTAGGCTATGGCTGGTGTGTGTGTGTGTGTGTGTGTGTGTGTGTGTGTGTGTGTGTGTGTGTGTGTTTGTGTGATATTTGTGAATGACCTAGTGACATTTCCATGTGAACTCTACTGAACTCAATCTCTAGTGCAGTGAGAGCTCAGAATATGTGCTATAAATAGACACACAATTATATAGAGTATTCACTATGTGTTCACTGGATTCTGTGAATCGTCACTATATTCTGTGTACTATTTTCAACTCAACTACCGGTATATAGCGATACACAAGAATATTTATATAAACACAAGAATATAGCCCAGAATTTCTTATTTTTTATTACTCACTTTATTTTACAACATTTTTCCAAAAATTTAATAAATAATTATATTTATAATAAATTTAAACATATTTTTAAATGCATTACTACCAGATACTAATTATAATACTATAATATATTCTTAGAGTATTTTATAAAAATAAATATATATTAATTACTAATTATATAAATAATTATATTTATAATAAATTTAAACATATTTTTAAATGCATTACTACCAGATACTAATTATAATACTATAATATATTCTTAGAGTATTTTATAAAAATAAATATATATTAATTACTAATTAAAATACATACTTCAATATTTATACAATGAGTCTGGGTGTCTGGATTGAGGTGAAATGGGAGTTAGGAACTAGGAAATATTTTCCTATACAGATATATTCCTAATATAAACAAAAATTATATTTCAAATATTATAGAAATTCCACGATTGGCATACAATTCAATAATATCTTAAATATTGTACAGTATTTACAAAACAAGAGCAAAAATAGATTTCTATGTGTTTTGTCGCTGATGTGATCGCGTTTGGCGATCGGCCCCCGAATTGTTGCCATTTTTAATGTCTTCACTCGTAGTACTGGTAGTCTTAGGGGCACGAGAGGGGCGACCGGTGCCGCCGCGTCCACCGCTGGATCGACGCCTGTGTCCACCGTTTCGGCGCTTATGATGTCGTGTGCTCTTCAGTGGTAAGGGGTCGGGCATATCGAACAGGTGTTGACCGAGCTCTTGCAGGGGCTGTGGGGCCACAGTGTGTGAAGACTCATTAAATTGAGCCATTTGTAGGTCTTCGGGAATGGGGTTGTGAAGCATCCATCCAAATATATAGGCACCGGAAGCACTACTCCACGAATACACGCAAATCAGTAGATATAATATTATTACCAAATAATTCATTATTATATTAATTCAGTTATATATCGAAAACTTTGCAAATATTAAATGAACTCGTCGTATGAAACAGCAAAACTAATGGTAAAATACCGATACCTACTCATCACATCAGGGTTTTCACCATCATGACCTCGTCTACTTGTGGATAATGGCTCACTACCGACTAAGACCACACTCTGAGCTAAAATATAATCAAATTTTCACAGTTATTCACAACATTGGATTCACTTAATAGGCTGATACTGTAGAGCCACACGTGTTAAAAATCACTTAACAGTACATTTGGGGAATGGCTAATCTCAGTGGCCATCCATCCACTCCATCCACTCTCTCCCATGGAGTGTGGGGTCCAACTGGACTCCACTGTCAGTCATAGTAGTTATGATTAAATAGAGATAATAAGGCTTTTTGACACACAATTCCAGTCACTCCAGTCACTCACTTACACTCAGCCATACAGTTCCCCACACAATACTACCTGAGAATCTTACAGTGCATACACTATAAGCAAATTGAAACACATATTTAAACTCTTAAATTATAATGGATTTGTCAGGGATTTAGGCCTAACACTTTTAGAGCTTAATATGAATTGTTAGCAAATGTTTTCACCTGTTTTTCTAGATTTTCTATTCAATGCACTTCAATACACTTAAGTAGAGTATAATATAAGTCAATTGTATATATAATATAACTCGACATTTGACTACCTAAATGTCTTGAACTGTAAGCCTAGGTAACACTTTTCAATAAATTCATTAACACTTAATTATATTTTGAAATTGAATTTTGTTTGTCCTTTCAATTTGGACTACACATTAAGCTTTTAAAATGTATTTACATTTTATTAATGCAATTCGTTTTAATGAATACTTATTATTTGAAAACTTATTATTTGATTTCCAAAAACTAAACAAATCAATCATCTATTCTTACAATTTTATTATTAAATTACTTTCATTAAAAATATGCTATACTTATAGTGCAGTCCAAATTTAAAAGAGCAAATGTCATACAAATGGCTAATAATTTTCAGTATCTATTATAATGCAAAACTTCAGTCAACAGAATATAGTATTTTTTGTATTCAATGCCAGAATTTTGAGGTATATTGCACATTTTGTAATTAATATCCTAATAAATCATAACTAAAATTAGTTTATTATAAATTATGCATTAATTAATTAATTAAATATCTGATTGCAATTAATATAAACACCGCATTAATATTTATGATAAATGAAAAATTTGTCACAACATAATAGAGTAAATATAGTGAGTATAATGTAAATGTGATCCTAATTTGTGTGTCAATTGTGAACAAATTCCTTCACTCTATACGACTGCCAGTATTGTGGAGCACCAGTAGTGCAGCTGGAATTGCAGGTCAGACTACTGTATAATATGGTAACACAAAAAAAACTTCTCTCCCAATCGCTTATTGTATGCTATTTTTAGCCACAATTTTGACCACAACTCATGTCAATATTGTACAGTATATGCAGTAATGTTATAATTGTCAGCAGCAATGGTATGTCTGGCCGAGAGATCCCTTTTAAGATACAGACGCACACACACACGACAACCCCTTAGGAAATGTCAGATAACAAAATTTAATTTCTTAAGTTATTTAAGAATTATTTATGTAATATGAGATACGTGACATACTGTCTATTTTTATTTTCATGTCTAAACAAAGCACACACATATGACATATAACTTTTCGTAATGACATAACTCAACTATTAATATAATACTGACTATTGCACCCTATAGTGATTCTGCACCGAAACTCGTTATTATTATTACAATTTGTATGAAATGTATGAATCAAAAAACAATTTTAATATATATACGAATCAATTTTTATTTATCAAAAAATAAGTACACTAATAATTAAATATATTTCACAAATTAAAACAAACAAAAAATCAAATAATAGACAAAAGACAATTTGATTAGACCCCAACCCACATAGAGTTTAGTCTTGTAATTCTGTTGTCAAAGTGATCACTGATCAGTGTATTTAAGTTATTTATTAATATAAAAATATATATACTGTTTATTATATGTATCCTTAAATCAAATTGTATTTGAAATTCCCAAATGTATTAACAACAGGTACAGTTTGTTCTAGACTTATAACAAGAATAGCATATAACTCAAAGTATAGAGTACTTTTGTTAAGTATGTAAATACACTCAATTCTCGCAATTATTGATTAATAATTCATTAATAATATTTATATACATATAATTAGCCAAAGAATTGTTTCCAAAGATATATTACCTGTATTCAAGCGACTAATGGTGGGACTATTATACAGAATAGGGGAGCACCTGTATGCTGACAGTTCACTATCAACAGAGGACTGGGAAATATCTATACTATAGATTCTATAGTATACAGTAAATTATATACACAACATATATTTAATGTGAGCAAGTATATCGGATAATTGACTTGAATTATATTTTAAGCATTTTTATTGTACGGTATTTTAATTAAAGATTCAAAGTGTATTCAACCATAACTGTTATTATAAGTTTTATAGATTTTTAATCATTACTCAAAAGCACTAAAAAACTTAATACCATATAAATATTGATATATTTAAAACCAATTAACCGATATATTGACTCACATATTGTATGATATACGGTAATAATAAAGTTAACATAATTATGAAATACAATCACACAAAAAAAACTTAATTATAAATATAACAAACAAATCAAAACCAAAAAATCAAATTTAAATAAATAAAAACTATATGAGAGTAGTCTGATTGTTAAATACCAATTAATAATTAGCGTCAAAATATTGTGAATATACCGTATAATCATAATTAGACAAATTGGGGAAAATTGAATGATTGAAAAAAGTGAGTCTAAATAGCAATGAAAACACATAAATAGAGAATTCAAAAATTTTGAAAGTTAAAAGTTCACATTACGTAAAAACTTTAATATACTGTAAGTACAAAACAAATGACCGCAAATGACACAAGTCACAATAATTTGGATAAAAACGATAAATAAAATAAATACAAAATACGTATAGAATATATAATAGCTGTCATTAAGGAGGGGGTCACCACCAATACAACACACACATACACAACCGCGTCTACATCTTAAGCACTTTCACCATAATGATAGCCCTTTGGGCGGCCTTTTGCATGGCCTCGTCCGCGTTGACAGTGCTGTTACCCCACGAGACAAACACCGGTAACCTCTTAGTGAGCGCCGTATTCCTCTTGAGTTGCACCAAACACTTCCACGTATTGGTCTTCGAGTTGCTCTCCGTTAGCGTCAAGTAATTGGCGAAACAATTCAACTTCTCGGCGATCAGATTGAGTCGCAGACAGTAGTCTTTGTCGGTGGCCTCGAATAGGGCCGTCAGGTCGTGGCACTGGAGCTCTTCGATGAACTCCACGTACTCTTTGGTCTCCTTCTTCTCCTCCACATTCGGGTCCAGTATTTGTTGCGAATTGTGTCTCGATTTCTAGCCATTTATACAAATCATACGATCAATCAATGAAAACGACAATTCGTACGAAAAAAATGTTAACATTTGAGGGGAAATACCTTTTTCTGAACGGTGTTCACCGGAAACAGTGGGTACTCTCTCTGCTGCAGCATTTTGAGCACCTCCTCAGCCGAGGCCCGTTTGGCCGACTGTTTCGTTTTGCCGGAAGCGTTGCCGACAATGGGTTCTGAACCGAACACTATCTGACACTTGATCCAGAAGACGGGTTCATGACAGGCGCCGTCCCTCTTCAGCTCCGAGTAGACCGGCGTCTGGAAGCCGTTCTTCGCGCAGAACTCCTGCAAAACGCTGACAGCGTTCGACTGCGCCGTCAGTCGCGAGCCGTCCGACCCGTCGAAAGTCTTTTGCACTTCGGATTTGTCGGCCGTCGAGGCGCCCGAATCGATGCCGGAGTCGCTGTAATACACGCACAGACATAAACCCATGGCCCACAACACGCGCACACCGACCGCGTGTGTCAATCACTGATATAGATTCGTACCATTTGTCGGACTCAATGATCCGTAATTGGGTGAAGTCGGCGCTAATGTCCGTTCGCACCTCCAGTGACTGTTGTTTGATGAACTCCAAGCCCTTTTGGGCGGCGCTATGTTTGGCCCCTTTCTTCGTTTTGGCGATTCCTTCGCCTATAACCACACCTTCAGAATAATAGCCGACAAACAGTTTAATGAAAAGCCAGTAAAATGCCTATAAAGCGGTGAAATGGGTATAAAAAGGCAAATCTAATTACCACTTAAAAGGCATTCAATGGTGAAGAAGGGTGAGTGAGAGTTGCCTTCCGTACGCGTCAAACGGTATTCCGGATTCTTGAGACCATTCTTTGCGCACAACTCTTGCAATTCGCTGACAGGCATTAGCTGTCAATACATATGCCATACGTTATAATCGTATTATGAATTAAAAGCGACAAAAATACACAAAAAAATAATGCATTCATTAACCTATATATAGTTCACTATATACGGTATTCACTGATCAATAATGCATTTCTCAAGAATCGTGTCTCAATTCTTTGCGATAAAAAAACACATTTTAAACTCAATTTATGAATGAATAGAAATTAAAGTGAAATCCTTTACAATGAGCACAAAACACATATTCGCGGAAAGAATCGCTACAAAAGCACATCTAAACAAATCAACTCTCAATACATGTATATTTGTTACGAAACTCATAGCAATTACATAATCACCGATCAATTATTGACATTTCTAATACTTCTATCGTAATAAATATCTATATATTACATCTATAGCTATATTATTATCGGCCATATTATAAGTATGCAAATAAAGTAACGGTACGATACCTGTCCCACTGGGGTGTTATTCACCGGTAGTAACACATTTAATAGTTTAACTAGAAAGGACATCGCTCACTTACTTATGCAATTATTGTATAAAGTTTAAAAATAGTTTAATGTTTTATGTGTTCACTCAAGATTCTAATTGTATGTCAAATTTTTTTCCACCGAGACTGCAATACCCTACTGTCCACTAATTAAACCCATGACTTTTATTTATTTATTTATTTATTAAAGTTTCAATTTTCACACAAACTTTGAGAGAGAGAGAGAGAGAGACCACCGATAGAATACAATTTCAAAATTATATACAGAATTTGATGATAAAAGTACAAATTATGCATGGATCGAATATCTCATCAAAAATTCCATATTTGTTTATTTATATGAAATTTAAGATTTTTAAATTGTTTGAAAATTAAAATTAAGAATACAATACTACAAGTGCCGATACTACAGTATAGCAGTATTACTTACAAATTACTAACATTAAAATATAGTAAATAATTTCAATATACTTTGTATAATTTTAATTAGAAATGTCACACCAATCGAAAAGTTGTTTATTATTATTTCAATATTACCAGGTACAGTATATGATACGATATTCAATGAATAAAACATTTATATATCACATATGAATACAGTATCAGTATCTCAACAATACTATTACCGGTAATAGTATTCATAAATAATTAAATTGCTTTTTCCTCAAATGTAAAGCCATTTAAACTAAAACGACATAACAGTGCTATATATGGCTACGGAGTGGGAGACCATTAAATGTAAATTTTACCAAATACTGTAGTCTATTTAGATATGAAAAGCATCTTAAGCCATAAGCTAAATGTGATTGAAAACTATGAGTAGAGCACTGAATGGGATAATGAAGTGCATATTCGCCACACTATTAGGTCCCACAACCTATAACTTGGTAAAAGTTGCTCGTATTATATATTTAGACCATAACTAACCCCTAACCGTAAATACATGTGCATAAATAGTGTCGACTCTATTTCAATACCAGTGTATTGTCAACACATGTATTATTAGAAAATTACTTATTTCAACATTTTTTAACATTAAGTAATTCTGACGTTTGTAAACATATTTCACTAACAAATGCTTATTCAGTGAAATTCAATACAATTAAACATTGACCTCATATTAGGTACTAATGAAATGCAATCAATTATACAGATATTGAAACTAAACATACAATTCATACATTATTTCATATTCACGAGAGAGAGAGAGAGAGAGAGAATATTAATAGAAAAAGCTTTACAACGAATAGCACACTCATGAGTACACTATACAAGTGACACACGGATCAAGTGGTGATTCACTAATCCATAGGATATATAGGCATTGAATGACACAAAACAATGGACACATTGATCGCATGTCGGGCACCGGGACTCACAGTTTGCAATACTGAGGGGACGGGTGGCTGACCGGCGTTCGTGGGCGCGGAAGTGATGTCCACTTTCTCTTGTTTCACGACCACGTCTTCGGCGGTAAACCTGCGGTCTATGGCTTTCGCGGACTTAATCTTCGCGCTCGTCGTCGTGTCGTATGAGTTATCACCGAAAGTCTGGTCGCGGAAGTCGTTCAGCGCACTCATTGTCCACATATATCACGTGTCGTGTCTTATAGTCACCCGAAGACGATAATAGCGGACCCAATGGTCTGATTTGTGGTGAAGTGTTGACCAAAGCGTGTCATACGAGTGGAGACACGAAATGCAAACGAAATTCAAATTAGATTTCAATTTTCAAAACACAAACAAATCATTGAATTTGGAGTTCAGTTCAATGTATGCGCCCATAGATGGCACTCAATGTGTACACAACACACATATAACGTTACGTTTCTGACGCATGGGGTGTCTATGCGTTGATTACACATATGGTGTGAAATGCGTATTCAATTCAGTGCTAACTTTTGTTTACAGCTGTAGTGGACACGGAATAGGGGAACCAAAAAGTGCGTTCAAATCGTCGCGTTATGTGTGTATGCGTTGAGTGGTGTTTGGGTGAGAGATGAATGCCATTGAGTTTGTCTGTTGTGAACGCAATTCATATGTCATTCAATGCGAGTGAAGGCTAAACACAATCTGACGATCGGTTTGTTTGCTTTGATTGCAGTGTTTTTGCCCACAATTCATACGACCACTCAAGACATCACTTCGGGAACCAATTGACACCAACAACAACCACCCGATCGGCACAAATGTTGGACAACTTCTTGGGCAATGTGTTCGGTCGCAGCAAAAAGCAGACCAACTCATCGGGCGCCACCACCGCCGCCCCCAACACGGCCGGCACCGGAAGCCCCGACTCCGGCAACGACTTCGTGGTCTTACCTTCCGATGACCGACAAACGGCTCTCTATCCGCCATTACTTACTCAAGAGGTATGTGTGTGTGTGCTGTCAGTCAGTGCGATGACCACCGCTT